CTATGATTCTATGATTCTAAGATGGATTTCTTCAGGCAGGCCTTTCCTGAGTAGATAACCAGCCACCAAAATGTGTTTTCCATTACAGCTATTTTAATTTAATTTACTTGTTATTTATTGTAACCTGTTTCTTTTTAATTATGTTTTAAATTTCAATTGTTTAATTGTATTTTAAGTGGGGGTTACTGGGGAACAGGACTGTTTGTTTTATCTTGTAAGCCACCCCGGTTGTATTTTACAGAAAGGCGTGATATAAATTATTATTATTATTATCAATATTATTATTATTATCTGTTCCTCATTTGGGGCACAAATTGGACCCATGGGAGGAAGGATGGGACCACATAATGTTGTGGCCAGATGTTGTGACCAGATGTCCTCACTGCCAAGGTGGACAAGGCATGGCAAAATGGAGGACCGTCAAGAAAAATTGTGAACATGTCCAAAGAAAAGCTTAAAAACACTTATATAAAGATAAATCTGCTTCTTCTTCTTCTTCTTGTTAACTGCCTTCGCATTGGTCTCGACCCATGGCAACCCTATGGATGAGATATCTCCTGGCTCCCCTGTCCTCTCATGCTCTGCCCAGCTCCTGCAAACTCATATTCGTGGTCTTTTTACTAAAGTCCATCCATCTGGCATGTGGCCTTCGTCTCTTTCTACTTCCTTCCACTTTTCCTAACATTATTGTATTTTCCAAAAAGTCCTCCCTTCTCATGATGTGTCCAAAGTATGACAGACTAACTCTTATCATCTTGGCTTCTTGGGATTTCTCTGGCTTGATCTGCTTTAGGACCCCTTTGTTTGTCCTTTTGGCTGTCCATGGGATCCTCAGCACTCTTCTCCAACCCCACATTCTCTCAAAGGCATTGATTTTCCTCCTATGTTCTTTCTTGACTGTCCAGTTCTCACATCCATATGTGGAAATAGAGAATATGATGGCTTGTGTGATTCTGACTTTTGTGCTGAGTTGTATGACTTTGCATTTTAGGATCTTTTCTAGTTCCTGCTTCTAGTCATGCTCAAAATAGAGGAGGTCTGAGCAGGAGACCCACACCATCCCTTGTATCACAAACATTGTACACCCTCTGACACTACACAATAATACCACTGGGATTCCACTTTCAATGCTGTGTAGGGGTTTGAGCCTTGGACTAGGACTCTGGAGACCAAGGTTCAAATCCCACTCGGCCGTGGAAACCCATTGGGTGACCCTTGGCAAGTCACACTCCCTCATCCTCAGAGGATGGCAAGGGCAACTCTCCTCTGAACAAAACTTGCCAAGAAAACCTGTGATAGGTTTGCCATAGGGTTGGAAATTACTTGAAAGCACACAACAACAACAACAACAGCAACAACAAAACAATGCTATAAAATCCTGAGATTTGGAGTTTGCGGAGGGGGATTCAGGATCCTCAACTAGAGAGCTCTAGTGCCACACCAAATTACCAATCCCAGGCTCCCACAGGATGTTACCATAGCAGTTAAACTGGAATCATTGCATTATAATTGCATAGTGTGATAGGTGGTGTGGCAGCCCCTGTCTTCTCTCACCCGTGTCAGCTTGGCATTTCTTCATCTCATGTTCTGCTGCTTCCGCCACTTGGGATGTGAGGTTCTGCTCCAGTGTTTTCTGGAAAGAAAAGACAAGAGATGGAGGAAGACAG